TGAACAGGGTATGCAAATCCGCCAATCAGTTATGATTTATTAACCAAATCCGCTGTTAAAATTACGCCATGAATCCGGCAAAAATATTTTTATTACACGCGAAGTCCAAAATCCGAGCCCCCAAAATGGATGAATCCGTAATCCAATGCAATTGCAGGATCCGGAAATCCGTTAAAATCTCGCTTTGAATCTGAAATCCTGGCAAAAATATTTTCAAAATCCGCCGATCCGTTCGCCTATTCACCACCCTCCTAATTTATACGGCAACGCTCGAGCTCTACTAAGCCGTTGTTGAGTCCTTTTTTGATTTTCTGCTTCAGAGGATACGTTTTCGTGAGTGAAAGTGGCGTTGAGTACCACAGTAATTGACTACATGCAATTGTCGTTAGCCTGCGGCACTAAATATTGCGGGCATTTTGCTTAGTTTAGTTAAAGCCATTAAATTGTATTAGTTAAAACGGCTTTGGTAGGTTTTTATTCGTTTACGGTCTTTAATTCTACGGCGAATCTACTAAAATAAAACTGAAACTGTACCAGTTAAAATAAATGTTATTGTATTCAATCAAGTGGATTCAGTCGAAATTTGATTTGAGTTGGATTACTGCAGACTGCTGTCATACCGACTAATGTTAAGAGTCAGTAAACAAAGTAATAGATAATCATAAAATTGTTCGTTAATTACTGGTTGTCACCAGTTTGGTATACCGTGCCTTTTACTCTTTAAAAATGTTCCTCACTGAATTTCGGTGTGAGTTTGTCTTTGATTATTTTGTGAATTGTTTCGTGAAGTTTCGATATGACTTGAAGTTCATCAATCGGAACGGTTTTGAAGTGACTTTCAAATTGAGTAGTGCCTTTTTTATCGTAAAAGACAAAAGATCGATCACATTTGGCAGTTTCGAGAAACAAGCATCTAGCAACATCAGCTTTTTTGCACAAATTTTGCCGGCTGAAGAAAAGTTTAAAAGTAGTTGTTGGTGCTCAAAACGTTTCTGACAAACTGGGCAGTAATATGTTCCAAACTATTACTGGCATGTTTTTTTGTCAAGTTAACCGTCAAACAGCACAGTCACACGTTAGCAATTTGAGACTGAGGCAGTCTCTGACAAACAGGGCAGTTATGCCCTAAACTATATAGCACTGGCGTGTTTTTTTTGTCAAGTTAACCGTCAAACAGCACAGTCACACGCTAGCAATTTGAAACTGAGGCAATGTCTGACAAACAGGGCAGTTATGCCCTAAACTATATAGCACTGGCGTGTTTTTGTCCAAGACTAACCGAAACAGCACAGTCACACGCTAGCAATTATGAAAGGCAGTCGCCCTAAGCATTTGGTTAATCAAAGAAACTAGCCGACCATTATTTTGACCGGCGCTTTAAGGTTCATTTGCTTGACTGTTTTGAGTTATTCGGTTTTGTCTTTCTGCTTTGAACGATGCGTTTGGGTAAAACGTTCACAGCCATTGTATTTTATAGAATAAAATACAGTCTATCAATAGAGAGTGAGTGGACATTGTTAATGCGTGTCTTCTAAAAATGAAATGCGCAGGACAAAAACTCAGAGACTTTTTGGCTTCCAATAGGCAGCTTCACAGTATTTTCAATTTTGCCACACAATCAGTGAATTAGAATAGAACAATGTTCTAAATTCACTTTGTTTTAATCTTTGATCAACAAACAGGTAGTTTCCCACGCAGGCGTTTTTAGGGGAGCTCGTGTTTCGTCCTTCCCAAAAAAAGGCCTGCTCAACCGAGAACAACATTCCTTTCCCATGCTTAGCCAATCACATTGTACTTTCCAAATTCTGGAAAGTTGACCTTGACCGCAGGGTAACCCGATAATTACTCGATCTGCTTGAAACACAAGGAAAGCTTTATGACCTCTAATAAATGTTAGACTCAGAGCGGCAAAAGAAAGATTTAGTCAGATTTTAGAATACTCCGTACATTGCATAACCTTAGCAAAGGAAAGAAAAGGAGGAAAAACGTAACTCTAAGGTCACGTTGTTACACTACCACGAGCTTATGAGTCGTGCTTAGCCTGTCAACACTTTTTTTCACAATTGTTGATTGGTCACGTACCACGCGAATAAAACAATGGGAAAGGAATGTTGTTCTCGGTTGAGCAGGCGTTTGTGGCGAGAGACGAAATACGAGCTCCCCTAAAAAGGCCTGCGTGGGAGGCTAAATAATGATTGGCTAGTTTCATTAATAAATTTGTTTAACTCTAAGACGTTTGATGCGATGCAGAATCGTAAATATATAAAAGTTCGTTAGTTTAAAGTTAAGTGGAATTCCGTCGTGAAGCAAGTGCCATTCGATACACTTTTGCTATGATGAAGGACAATATGCTTATGACTTACGTGATCGCCTGATTGAGATTAATGAAGTGAATCGGAAGTTCTAAATGGTTTGACTTTGTAATTGCCTGATTGGGATTAATGAAGTGAGTCGGAAGTTCTAAGTGTTTTGAACAGGATAAATAGTAGGAAAATCTTGAAGTGTCTCAGTTTGTTTGTGGTTTTGGTACTACAAACATTAACTGCATTTAGGATCGGATCCATCGATCATCGTCCTGATTCCTTGGTCTAAGAGTTCTTTTAAGGTAGCTAAGTTTGCTCCTGGGAAAAAGGCTTTAAGATCGAATGGCCGCCGGTAAAGTTCAAATCGTACCTAAATCAAAATGACTGAGTTATTGTTATAAAACCAATCTTCGGTCAATTTTTTGTTCTTTCATAGGATTTCTGCTACCTAACACGTCGATCATATTATCATGAAGTTGCTGATCTTGCTGCAGTGTTGTGTTTTCCTCTGCAAACTAACAGCTGGTCATGAAGGTAAGCTATTTTTAATTCTCATCCCTTCTTTAGTCTTTTTCAGTTAGGTGATCCAAACACCACCACAGTCCCATACTGCTATTAACAAATTAAGAGGTTGCTAGCCTGTTACAGACTGGAAGTTCTTTATTGGTTTTGCTTATATAGTTTGCGTCGCAGGCGCCCGGGGGGGACTCCTATATAAAAGGGGCGGGGATGCTCGTCGTCTCGCTAAAGGGTGTAAATTTCAGATTTTTGTCTCGCTTAGGGTGTTCTGGGCAAAACACCTTTGTATTTAGCCGTAAAGGTCTCTTTTAGGGTTGGAATCGAAGAAATATTAAAAAATTATATATTTTCAATTCGTTTTATTTGCTCGATTCATGTAATCAAAGTTTAAAATGATCGCTTTTAGGGATCAAAAAAAGGTTGGGCCACGCCCAGATTGGTCTCCCTTAGGGGTTTAAATCAAAATTTCGGACGAGCATCCCCGCCCCTTTCATATGGGAGTACCCTCACCTTCACCCGGGGTGGGGCGGGGGGGCAGGCAACGTTAACAGGGGGAGGGAAAAGCAATTTCGGATATTGTGAAAAGTGAAAGAAAAATTGAGCAAGCAAACAAAAAGACTGAAATCTCATTGTAACGAAATCAAGCTGGAAATGTACTTTTCAGAGGGTGCTGCCCGAAAAGTGAAGTAAGCCGATCTATTTTGTCTCCCCGTCTGCTCTGTCAAACAGATCTGCATGAGAGTGGCGTTAGTAACGCTGGTAACGTAATCGTTATTTCATTTCTATATATATATATGGGTGCGTCCTACAGACAGGTAGGGAGAAGGACTAAGCCTCACCATTAGTACCTTTAAATTCCGGCTCCCACCCCTTTAATCGTTTTTTTTTTCTGTATATTGTATTTTGACCACGAAGCAGACGTCTCTCCAGCATACATAGGGAGGGCAGTTGTCGAGCCAAATTATCTTGCCAGGCATGATTCACGTACGATGTGATGGAGTCGAATAAATGTTTCGACAGCTCTAAAGACAGAAAACTGACACTTAACACGTATGCATGTGTACGATAAAATAATGACTAGTAATAGTTGACACTACAGCTGCCCCCGCTCTATATTGTCGGTCAATAGCATTCTTGCTCGTTGTGTAGCTCTTTGAAATATACCGATTCATAAGGAAGATTTTCACACATATTCCATACAATAGGTGAGATAAATACAGGAAACGCAAGGTTCCATGCACAGTTCCAGGTCGATTTACACAGCTTTGATCAAAACATTCTCAGTTTCGAAAAAAGTTTATTCTAAACCATAAGAAAAGATTTAATAAGAAGTTGAATTTTTCGCTATTTCACTTTTTAAATTCAGTTCATTTTATTTCCCGGAAAGTAAGCCTTAGAAATTGAAAGGACGTTTGATCGATTCACACTCGCGCATTCTAGTCTTATTTTAAACTTTATAGCGGAAGGACATCTGTGAGCAGGGAATAAGTCAGCACAGAATTTGATTGTCGGCGAATTTTTGTAATCGTCCATCGTTCTGCTAGTGAGAAGCTAGCCGTTGTTCACTCGTCTTGCTTGTTTAGGGCTGAGTCTTATTCCGGTCAAAGAGAGAGAAAGAGTGTCTGGCAAGGTTTCCAATGAAAGACTTGTGAACTCGTGTCTGGCAAACTCTCCAAGTGTTTATATATACACAGTTATACGCACCTTATAACTTCTTCTGCGCTTAACGAGTGTCGTTAAAATTTTGGTCTATATAACTTTCACTGAAACAACTGCTCCACAGAATGTCACTGATAACACGTAACGCAAAAGAGTGTCGGAGTATGACTGAACAATACATGTCACAAAATCTACCTAAGCGGTTCCTTGGAGATGTTTTGTCTTTACGTCATCCTAACCATTTCGTACTTGCGGGCGCAAACAATAGAAGTGTCATCATTACCTACCGATTCCTCGCGGCCTCTGTTCAAGCAAATAGAGATTTTTCCTATATTGACTGTACGACTGTATATTTTAACTGTAAGTACTTTCCTTAATATACGCGCGAGTTACTAGAGTGCCTCCTCGGGACTTCCTGCGGGGGCAATAAGCGTGAGGATGAAAACGACAAATTCCGCAATGTTTAGCTGAAGACCGGTATGTTCCTTTACAGGAGAGGGATGCCGTGAGGGTCTTGGAATGGAAAACGGAAAGATTGCTGACAACCAAATAACTGCTTCCTCAGAAAAGCTTAACTATAAAGCCGTTCAAGCAAGATTACGTTATAAAAATCGAGGAAGACCTTTCGGCTGGCAACCTAAAAACAGTAGGCGCACTGAATGGTTGCAAGTTGATCTTCTTGACAATTACATAGTAACGGGAGTAGCAACTCAAGGTTGCTTGCCAGTCAATCCCAATTCAAAACTTGTTTTCACGGTAACCAAATACCAACTAGAATACAGCAATGATGGTAAAGTGTTTTCTACCAATCATAAGGTAAGTTTATTTCGTTTTTCTTGACAATATCCCAAAGCTGTTATATTTTTCTTTAGAGTTCAAAGCTGAAATACTTTTGTCTAAGCGTCAATTATGTGAAAGTACCTTTTTGGAAGACAAGAAAGCGTGTTTTGATGATCAAGTCACTGGTTTTCCAGGGGGAATTTAGAATAGCAAGAGAAAAGTAGAAGTTATATTCCGTGTTTATTAAAGGATGGCTGTTATCACCAATGACTATAGAGCAACAGATGAATACATCGTTTGCAGTGAAATACTATGTATATTAAAAGTCAAATAACTCAGGAAACGGATTCGTTGTTAACGTCAAGATTTCATGAGTGGAGATATCTGAGCAAACCTAAGACCCAAAAGCAACCAACAACCTAAGACCTATGACTCGGCGGACCTGAATTAAGTCTCATAAAATCATTTAAATGACTTAATATTTTAAAAATTTATTATCGTAAAGTACTTAATTTATTTAAGTTTTTATTCACGTGTTTAATTAGATTAAATTCTCGCCTGAGGGATTAAGAACCGACAGAAATAAACATCTTTCTTTCACACTCAGTGATCTTAGTGTTTTAAGCAATCTGTTTGGTTCGCTCTTTCTGACTATTCAGAAATTATCTCCTAACGAGTGGCTAAGGTGTAAGCTGACTAAGGTCGGTGATTTGCAGATTTTTAAGCGTAAGAACCCTTCTGAAAAATTGGACAAAATCATAGGGCTGATGTTTTTGGAGGTAGGAGAAGACTCTAAAGTATTTAAAAGGATCTACTTTAGCAGAATTTTTCTCCCGATGGAATGTTTACATTTACAATTTACCGAGAGAGAATGAGCTAGGAGAGCGAATCCCTGTGCCCCATAATATAATATTTTTTTTAAAATCTATTTAAAGTTCGCGCGCGTGCTGCGAAGGTCATTTTTGTCTGTTGTTTCCGTGACCCGCGTGGTCTACTTTCAAGTGAACGTGACCATGTTTCGCCGCCAAACATTTGAAGTTTGGCAGCCATTATAGTAATTAGCGCCAGGAGCCGTTACTCCTGTTGTTTACATGTTTTTGATCAGCGCGTTCCTCTCTTAATCAGGAATGAATTTCATTTACAAAGGGATTGCAGTATTGGAGTTAACATTTCACTTTGAGATTAAAGACTGAGGTTTTCTAACGAATGGTAGCGTCATTTAAAGTAACGAATATTGAATTCTGACACAGTGTGAAAGCCAAAGGCAAAGGTTATCACGCGCGTATAAGTGGCTGGCTTCAATTGTTTATGCAATGTGCAAGATATTTTTTCTCTTTTTCCAGGAATATTTTTCGTTCAGAAACAGTGCATTTGCTTTTAAGAATTATTCTGGAGAGAGTTTCAAACTGCATTACTTCTCCTTAACGTCCAATACTTGCGATGAATAATTCGCTGTGCGAACACAACCCAGGTTAGATGCTTTAAGGTGTTAAACAGTCGCTAACCTGGGTGCCTTCAGAGACTTTTCATCCGCGGTTTCCGGTTTCGGTCAACTCTTTATAGTGAGCGTTGTGCTCACATTTGTTCAGCGCATTCTCAAAGTTCAAATGTTTGGCGGCCAAACATTCATGTTTGAACCCACTTTGAACCTATTTTCTCGTCACGTGTCCACGGTTGGATCAAAGCTGTGCAACCATGGAGTTATGGATGCACTTGGGAGGTTTGCTAGGCACTCAAGAAGCTAGAGTCACACTCGGCTATCGCCTCGTGCGACTTTTACGCTTCTTTCGTGCTTAGCAACCTCCCACGTGCATCCATAACTCCATGGTTGCAAAGCTGCAACGTTTACCATTTCTTTTATAACATAATCAATCGTTGCCTCAGCCCGCTCGCCACCCCGCCTCCGGCTTCGCCGAACACTCTCTCGTTCGCTTGCCACTCGAGGTTGCTCCCAGTTATAATAACTCTTATAACATTTCTTGGTGGTTGTGCGCGTTCGCTATGGGTGAGGGCTAACTTGCTCATATTTACCAACAAAGCTTCAATCGATGTTGATATTGTTTAATAAAAGTGAAAGCCTAGAATGTGCCAAAGTTGTTGTTTTGAAGTTGGGTACCATCCTTTTCTATATCCGAATCCATTTTAAACCTCTAAAATTATGAAAGAAGATCTGAATAGGCACATTCCACTAAAGATAAACGAATTCGCTTCGTTGACACTTGCCGGAAGGTACCCCTAGTTATAAGTTTTGGCTTCGTGGAGGTCAACGGTTAAAGTTGCATCATGACTTGGATGGTTGCCCACTTCAGTCAATGGCCTTCGGAATGACGCGATGGTAAATTCGTTCCATGTTGCATGTACACGATGCAAGCAATAAAATCAAAGCCTTTCCTTGATACTTTCAGAAGATCACAAATGATCGATCTTTGACTTTTTTTTGCTATGAAGCAAGCGAACCAACGCTTGTAGCCGATGTGGCCGTCGTTAAATTATTAAAAACGGAAGTCAAGATATCAAAGGGGCAAACCAAGTAATTTTCACCGCTTGCTCCTTTCAAACCATGCATTTTATAATTTCAATTATTTTCCGGCAATTGAACTAAGCGATTACTATTGTCCCTTTTCTTCCATTTCTGGCACGAAACCCACTAGTGCACGATGTTATAGCTAACTTTCAAATGGCAAACCACATTAGATCGGGGTGGCGCAATCAACTAATCCGTCAACTTAGCGTCTGATCTGACGGGTCGCAGGTGAGTCGGTTCAAACCCCGAATAAATATTCTTCGAATAAATTATGGTATTTATTGTAGCCGAAAGAACTCGAAGTACTCTCGAGATATCTGGAAGTAATTCCGGTCCCACTTCGTGAAATAGCCGAAACAAGCCGAAAAGTTACGAACTTGCGTACCCAATCTCGTCCCAAAACTGGTGCATGATTTTATAGCTATTTTTCACATTACAAACTATCTTGGGTTGCAGTGGCGCAATCGGCTAATCCCTCAAGTTAGAGTCTCATCTGATCTGACGGGTCGCAGGTGTATTGGTTCGAGACCCGGGCGAGTCAAAAATAAGTATTATTTCTTCCCTGAGAGCTCGAAGTGATCTCGAGATAACTCAAACAAATTCCACTCTCACTTCGTCAAAATAACCGAATTAAACTAAAAACTCACGGACATTACTTGGCGCTCCGCCCAAGTAATAAGAGCCATTATCTGAGAAAATCGAGAATCGCACGACACTCGTCAAAAAATCGAATTTTTTTTTATTTTGCCAAAACATCCCTTTTAGTGACCTTATTTAAGGAAAAATAGTTTTGGGTTCAAACGATTCATTTTAAAGGAGAAATTAGGAAAAGTTTGAAAAATCGATTTTATGCTCGTTTTTCGCACAAAACACGGCAGGATGCAATGGCAACTTCGAGAGAAGGGTGAACGCGTAAGAAACATTCCCTGACATTGAAACTTCACCGAATTATTATTTTGTTCTTACTCTTGAAAATCCTAAAAGAAAATTTGATAAACAATGCTTTACATTTTTATAATCGACAAGTGTAAAGAGGTCATATTTGTGACGTTAGACGTGCTAGAAAATGAAGGCCAACTTTGACTATTAAAAAAGGCCTCTGGTATATGCCGCTTGATCATAAAATCAATATAAAATGGAACCTTGGCTTTTGTACTAACTTACTGGAAAGTTTTAGCTCTGGAAATCAAATATCATCCTGACACCAAAGCAAGCGGTGAGAGCAATTGAATTGGGAAATTTATGCAAATTAGACGGCTTGCGGACGGTTGTCAAACTAAAAGAAAGGTTTTACATGAAAGGATTACTCACCATTGCTTGTAACACGTTTTTACGGCAAGGAAAGTTATTTCCAACTTCTTTTGCGTCGTTTTGAGTCACAAAATATATAATTTTTAGCCAAAAGACAAACGTACGTTTGCTCAGCAACTGCGTCCGAATCCGGCCGTGAATCGAAATAAAGTCACAACACGTCGAAGCAAGAGTTACAAGAGTTTTTACTTCAGTCAGGAGGCAAAAGGAATAAAAATTCATCGCAAACTAATGACTTCGATTTTGAAAACCTTTCATCACTTCAATCGTTCGTCGGCTGATAATAAACATCGCATAAGATCGTATGACCTTTGGTGTGACCGGAAATTGGTCACACGCTTTAGTCACGTCATCATGCTGTCACGAAATTTTCGTAGCTGTTGTCAGCAATTTTAATACAGTTTTCACATTTTTTGACAAGAAATCCTCTCATCGCAGTAGAAACAGCCATGCATATTTATTTTTCTTTTATTTACCTACTAGGCTTTGAAACAGCTTTTTTGCCTTCGAAGTACTAAACAGGAGGGGTACCTCGGATTCCAAGTGTCGTGAGTGATCCGTGGAAGCGAAAATTAAGACCAAAAAAGAACGAATATTTTGAATACTTAAGTAAAGCCACAGCTAAAAAAAAAAAATTGTTCAAAATATTTTCAAACTAAGAAAAAAACATACTTCGATCATCCCCGTGACTTGGAATCTGGCCAGAGTACCCCCTCCCCCTCCCCTCCTCCCCTATGCCGGGTCAAAATACTAAGTTCCCCCGGCCCAATGTCCCATAGTCAAGGGAGTATACTCTCTTGCTGTAGTAAAGAACTTGCAGAATAATACCAATTCTCCGTGGCCAACGGATTCAACGCTACAGTTTACTTTTGGTTTTGCTTGTTGATTTTTTCGCTATTTGCTCACGATCAGGAGCCTATAACCCCAACCACGACCAAATTATGAAACCTGTTATTACCAGAAAAAAAAAACACAAAGAAACAGTCAGTCAGATAGACAGTACATAATTAAAAAGACCTCGACTAAGATTAAAAAAAATCAATACATGACACTGTCGAATGCGAAAACCCAGAAACCATTTTGTGGAAAAAAGGTTCGCATACAGCTATCAGCTGCTTTTGTCCACAACTCGCCGGTAGAGGTGCGCGGAAACTAGTGATTGTGAAATGGCTTCAAACTATGATCCTATACTGTTGGAATATTACTTATCACAGAAAGCTACACCTGATTTCTTCTAGCAGACCCAATCCTCTTGGTTCGTGTGGACAAAGTAGCTCATCCCGGCTATTTGCACCATGCTACCATAGTCTCCCTAGATTCCCAAGCCTCGCAAGCAGACCTTCCTGTCCCACGAACGTTGGGTAGGATTGTAGGACGAGCCAAAAGAAAGTGAAGGCTATAGGCTCTCGCGATGATGCAAGGAAGGTCGAGTATTATATTCCCCTATCCTGGTCGCCCAGGGTAAGTCTGCGGAGGAGAGTGACTGAGGGGCTGTATGTTCGAAAAGTTGACTAACGCCCCCGGGACTAACGCTTTCACCCTGCTTCTTCTTATTCGCTTGATAGTGATTTCCTGTTGTTAAACGTTTGAACAACAGGGCCCTAAGTATTGTGTTTCGTCTTGCACTAAAAACCCATAAACCTTATAAATTTCACTATGGGACTTCAACACCTCCCTTGAATGATCCATTTCGCTAAACGGGACCTCAAAACAACGATTCTGTGTATCCTAAGGGAGTGTATACTATACTTTCCTGGCTCTCGTCACTCACAGTGAGGTGATGGTGGCTTACACAGTCCAACCTCCATGTGCGACTGCCAATCCAAAAGACCAAATTTTCCCAGTCAAAGCCTTACAGTTGGAACTTCCAGTAAACGACCACCTTCTGTAAGTGACTGCGACCACTTTTTGGGCGTCACGGTTAATTGTTTTCCATAAGCGACCAGTTGACGCATTCTCTGCTCTCTATTTTTGCTGTGTGCACTATGTTCCTTAGAAAATATGAAGACCTTTAGCGACATCGTGGAACTACACATATCCTAACTTAGTAGATGTAGCCAACAAAGTGAAGATTATGTTGTGATTCTAGACTATTCTATATCTCACTCACCTGAATCCCTCTTTAAATTGAGCATGATTTAAAAGCTGTATTTGTCAAAAGAGGTAAAAGATAATATTTTGCCAGGAATTTGTTACACCGCCATTTAATAGAATGTGCCTGGACCTCTTCTCGGAATAGACCCCATGTGGTCCGATTCTTCTAAACGACCACCTCCCGTTAGGGACCACTAAGTCTTTGCATTTTTGGTGGTCGCTTACTGGAGGTACGACTGTATTACTTTGACCTATCAGAGGCTTACCGATAATAAAGGGGATCTGGAAGGGGGCATGGATGCGACAATCACATGCAGGTCGCTTACTTAAAATAGTAGACATCTAACTGACAATCAAAGTTTGTGCTTATTATTGGGGTTATCTGGTGTTTACTCACCTCCCAAGCTACCCTGGGCGAGCCAACTTTTCCTCCATTTCCTTACAAAACTTGGTAAACCATTTACATGAGAAACAAAAGGTTGGTTCGGATAGACGCCTTACTACCAGTAGTGGGCGGAGTTGAGGGCTTCCGGAAGTCAGCCCTCCACTGAGCCGGTAGTGGTGGCCTCACCCTTCCAGCCCGGCTAATATTTCTCCACTTTGGCTCGCCCAGCTACAATCGGCGACAAAATGAGTTGAGACACTTCGCCCAAAAGTAGGCTTTTTTACGTTTTATGAACTTCAAAAGGAGGAAATATAGCTTTCCTCCCCCATCCCCTCCGTACAATGTTGTGCCCTTGTTCTAGCTACCTATAGAAAACAACAAACACCCCAACTTTGAATGGAGGGGACAGGGGAGGGTGCGGATTCGTTTGTTCTCCGAAGTCACCCTATTTGTCTCAACAATTTTGTCGCCGATTGTAGTTGGGACAACACGGTCAAGGCTAGACAAAGACAGCATGCGCAAGCACTGTTGACTCGGACAAAGTGGTCAGTTTTTTCCTCATATAAACGCTCGCAAAAGTTGGCTCGGCTGGGAGGTTGACCTTCTCTCCGGCACAGCTTTTCTCCATCCATGGGTTCCAAACAGTCTTTTAGCAGTCACGTTTGAAATTTATAGGAAAATGATGTAGCACTTCAAAAAATAATAATAATAAAAATACACTTTTTTCACAGCCTGTCAATGCCTAGAAGGTGTCTATAAAAGAAATCAACTGCAGAACAGGAGTCAATTTCAGTTTTTTGCGCTTTTCACGCTAGCACTGCGAAGCGGACTGGGGGCGCGAGACACGCGCGATGCATGGGGAACAAGTTCTGCAGGCTATAAAAGAAATTAAAAAATAAATAAATAAATAAAGCAGGCCTGATTTTATTTCGATGAGTCTATTTTTTGTCGAAAGCAAACGTGAAAAATCGTATTAAAATTCGTGACAGTATGCTAACGTGACTTGAGGGTGTGACCGATTTCCGGTCACACGCCAAAGGTCATACGATCTTGTGTGATGTTTATTATCAGCCGGCGAACGATTGAAGTGATGAAAGGTTTTCAAAATCGAAGTCATTAGTTTGCGATGAATTTTCAATCTTTTGGCCTCCTGACTGAAGTAAAAACTCTTGCAACTCTTGCTTCTAAAGGACCGCAGTGACGTGTTGTGACTTTATTTCGATTCACGGCCGGATTCTGGCGCAGTCGCTGAGCAAACGTGCGTTTGTCTTTTGGACCTTTTGGCTTAAAATTATGGATTTTGTGACTCAAACCGACGCAACAGAAGTTGGAAATAACTTTCCTTGCCGTAAAAACGTGTTACAAGCAATGGTGAGTAATCCTTTCATGTAAAACCTTTCTTTTAGTTTGACAACCGTCCGCAAGCCGTCTAATTTGCATAAATTTCCCAATTCAATTGCTCTCACCGCTTGCTTTGGTGTCAGGATGATATTTGATTTCCAGAGCTAAAACTTTCCAGTAAGTTAGTACAAAAGCCAAGGTTCCATTTTATATTGATTTTATGATCAAGCGGCATATACCAGAGGCCTTTTTTAATAGTCAAAGTTGGCCTTCGTTTTCTAGCATGTCTAACGTCACAAATATGACCTCTTTAGACTTGTCGATTATAAAAATATAAGACATTGTTTTTCAATTTTTCTTCTAAGGTTTTCAAGAGTAAGAACAAAATAATAATTCGGTGAAGTTTCAGTGTCAGGGAATGTTTCTTACGCGTTCACCCTTCTCTCGAAGTTGCCATTGCATCCTGCCGTGTTTTGTTCGAAAAACAGGAATAAAATCGATTTTTTAAACTTTTTTTAATTTCTCCTTTAAAATGAATCGTTTGAACCCAAAACTATTTTTCCTTAAATTAGGTCACTAAAAGGGATGTTTTGGCAAAATAATAAAAAATTCGCTTTTTTGACGAGTGTCTTGCGGTTCTCGATTTTCTCAGAAAATGGCTCATAAGGTAGCAAGAAGGGTGTTATAACCTCTCAATGCAAAAAAAAAAAATAAAAAAACACGTAAAAACGTAATTACTGCACTTGTCTTGAGATAACAGTTGAATTTCTCTGTTTGAATCCGAATGTTTCCCAATGTTCATTGTTAGTGTTCATTTCCGTACACTACCATATGCTGCTACCTGCAATATTTCTATCTTAGGGTACGCAAATGAACGATCTATTCATTTACCAAAGCACGTTAGAATAATTGACACCGTAGTACCCTATAGTAAACAGAGGAGATTGTCAGATAACTTGAAAGTTAATCTATTTTCTCTGGATTCTCTAAGGCCCTGTTTACAAGGAGGGAGGGTAACCCTGGCTAGCACTCGCACATTTCTTCTTTTTTTAGTTGTCGTGTTTACAAGGCAGGGAGGGTTACCCTAGCGAGAGGGTTACCCTACCTGCCTTGTAAACGTTCTGCTAGGAATAACTCGCCTACCCGGGACAACTTTCCTCCGTCAAGAGTGACCAGTAATTTTGACAATTTGAACGGAGTTATCCAATTTCTGGTTAAATTGTAAACATCTGAGCACTATAAGTTATTTTCTGCATACGATGATAATATTTACCCGTGTTGACCTTGGACGTTACAGAGAATGTCACGCATTATGAAACAAGTCAGTAAAGTTGGTAAAGTTGACCCGGGTGATAGGGTAACCCTACCTGTGAAATTTGCTTGTAAACCAGACAAGGCTAACCGTTTACCCCGCTTGCTAGGGTAACCCTAGCGCAAGGGTAACCCTCTCTCCTTGTAAACAGGCCTTAATATTCTGTTTTCCCTTAATTAGTTATATAAAGGAAACACAGACGAGAGCACAGTCGAATATCACACCTTGGAGACACCAATCAAGGCGCGCTACATTCGCTTCCGACCAAAGTCTTGGAAAAAAAAGATATGCATGAGAGTGGAACTCTATGGCAATATCGCAAAAGGTACTCCAGTTAATTATGTTTCACTGGCAATTTTTTTCTTTGTAAACTATATGTAAGTTTTGGTAGTAGGCTTAAAAATAATTTTAATTTTCTTTTAGCTCACTATATAAGTTAACATCACATAAATAATACTTACAGTTACTAGTCAGTGTAATATCATCACTTGTAAATTGTGCGTTTGAAGTTTCTGTTCAAGACACAATACAAAACACAGGTACAACGTCTTTGAAAAGCGTGAATGAAAGTTATTATTTGAGATTTGAATATATGAAGAATCTAAAATTATAGAGAAGAGGTTACCTTATCGGCAAATTTGTGTTCTCAAATCATATGGAAACTTCAGGTGAAAAGGCAAATTCTGATCTCTTTGTTCATGAATTAGAGTGTTCTGACCAAGTTATTTGTTTGTAAAATATGTACTGATCCCTTTATCGTTGGAAAAATACCGCGACCGTCCAAAAATTGTTTGCTGACTACACTGCAATGCCGCCCTTAACGCGTGGAGATAACTGGACTGAGCGACAAGAGTGAGAACGGGTTGGATCTTGAGACATGATCTCGAGTCAGGATTTCGAGTTAGTATTTCGAGTCAGGAGTTGTTAACCATTTACAAAAAGTTTCCGGAAAATCAGTCCGGTTGGAAAGTAAATGGCACACGACTTTTTGGGTTTTTCCAGCGGAAAGTTTCCGGGAGCAATGTTCCAAATTCCGGTAAGAAAATGAAAATGGTTCCGTTTGGGAAGCTTAAAAAAAATGGGTTATGATTAGAGGCAATTTATTTTTTTACTATTTTAGGCTGTAAGCTGTTTGAGTATACTTTGTACTGAGCGGGTCGTTCTCCCCGCTAGCTACGTCTAATTTTAAAGTTTTATGTTTGTGCACAAGATTTCCACCCGGGTGGTTTGTGTAAATGTAAAGCATTCCAGTTTCAGGCCTTCGCGGCCGTTTTTTGGTAAATGTAACTTATTTGTACTAATTGTAAACGCGATTCCGGGACGAAATTTCCTGGTCCTGAATTTTAGTCCGCGTAGCAAGTTCGTTGAGAAAGTTGGGACGAGAGCAAAAAATAGTAATGAGGAGGGAGGAGGAGGGGAGAGATGGAAAGGATCATGGGGTTTGCGTGCAAGCGTTTCCTCTTCTTCCCTCCCCTTCCCCACTCCATTTTAAATTTGTTTTCACGGCAACTTTCGCGCAATAACTCGATTGGAAACGCTTGCTATGCGGGCTAAATTTTTCTGGCCTGCGTAAACAGACGCCTTTTTCAACTTTGTTTCGCAAGCTAGAATTTTTTTTTTAAACCAATTGCCCATACCATGAAATGACCGGCTTTCCCATGTAATTCAGTCAGTTAAACAATCAGAATTTTGAGTTAGGATTTGAATAAGATTGGTGAGTATAAATCACGGACTGCGGACTGGGTATAAAACACGGACTTCCAACTACGTACTGGGTAAAGCGTACAACGGACTGTATTTTAAAAACAGCTCTTGGAAGGTAAAAGGGAAGAGAGGGGTGAATAGGTCCACGGATCGGCGGATTTGGCCTTAAAAAGCTCACGGATTGTGGATTTCGGCGATAAATCGAGCGGATTCGCGGATTTTAAAAATACTGTGGATCGCAGGTCAGCTGAAAGTTTTGGCCCGGTTTCCGGATTCTGTCAGCGGTCTAGAAGTTCGGATTGTGGATCGGATCATCAATTTTCGGTCGGCCTTGGTCAATGTGCTGGTGTTTTGTCGGCTAACGTTCCACTTCCGAGGTTTCCGGAAGAGACTTTCTCGTGACCCGACGCATATATGTTGTGGTTCAATTTTATCCTTGGTTTAATTTTTATTTTCTTTCGTTTTTTGGTATGGTAATGTATGATAATGAAATTAAAACAAAAGAAGATAAAAATTAAACCAAGGATAAAATTGAACCATAACATATACATGTATTCTAGTATAGACAGCGTGACGGAAATGACGTCAGGCAACCTTGTGCATTGCTCCTGCATGACACATGGTTCCGGTAACGGCGGTAATGCTAAGTGACCTGACAAGATCTGTGATATCTTCTTGAAAATCGTCAAATTAGTTGTTTTACCGATTTAATGTTGCAGTACCTTTGCTGGGCACTAACCAGCGCACCAACCATTAGCCCACACACAGCGATATTCATTTCGTAAGATGAGAGTTATTTTCCGTAATCATATCCGCTGGACTGTTATACTGGATTTTTGGGCCCTCACATTTAATGCTAGGATTGAAAGCGACTCATGAACTATAAAAAAAATCAAATTTACAAATTGATCGGTGAAATGAGAAACTGGATCTTGCTCCTTATATTTAATGCTAGAATTGACGATCATTGAGTACAAAACAAACTACGAGTAAATGAAACTCTGTATCTGCAGCAAAAAAGAATGCAGTTTGCCGTTGCTAACCCTTTTACCCGTCTGTTGCCAAGTGGGAACATGTTTATGTGAAAAAGATTACGGACTCAAGACTTCCAAGATGAACCATGAAAAATACTTACTGGTAAGCAAATTACCATGAAGTTGAGTTCTGCCTCTTCCGAATTTTGCGGCTCGACTAGCAGCATGTCCAAAGTGATGTCAGTAAGTAGATTTATTGAAAAATCTTTTACGCAATACCAGATACTTTCATTTTGCAAGCTTGCAGACTATTTGATTAGTCAAACCTGCATTGTTGGAAGAAACATTATAAGCTCTGTCCCTAATGCTTAATGTTTTGAAGCTGTAACGAAAACTTCCTAAACATGAAGTCCCGGATCCGTTGCGATTACAGAACAACTATATTAAGTAATTCATTTTTTTCATGCTACAAACGCTACTTTCTATATACCACGAAAAATTTTTAAAGTAACACGGATTCGGATTTGAACAAAAATTAAGTCGGATCGACGGATCGGGCCTAAAAATACCACGGATCGGCGGATTTGCATACCCCTATTCACCCCCCTCAGGGAAAGAAACAGATTGCGGAGTAGCATTAGCCTGGGACCAGGTTCCACAGTACGTAGGGGGAAAAGGCAAAAAATGGGGTGAAATAGGAAAAAATATCTGCTTGCGAAGCGAGCCGAGCGGTGGTCGGCGAGCGAAGTATATTTTTTTCGCCCACCGCCGATTTCTTTCTCCTTACAGTGTAAACATTCCTCTCGCTCGTCACGCAATCTCTTCTTCCTATTAAACGTCCGTGGAAAGAAAACGTTACGAAACCCTTTAAAAAAGAGGACACTTAAGGTAAAGCTCATGCGCTGCCCAAGCACACTGAAAAATGAAACTCCGAATTAAGAAGCATCGAATTAAGAAATCAAATTAAACCAACCCACGATATACCGATATTCTCATCAAGTCATACACTGGTATACCCCCGGAGGAACTACTCACATATATACGGGCTAGATGGATATGTGCCACCCGGTTGGGCATGGTTTTTGAAGGTTTCGATCCTTAAATAAGGTATTAATTTTCATTTGTCTCATCCTTAAATATGGTGAGGGTTTCCGTCTCATTAAAAACAAACAGGAAAGCGAGATAAGCAGATCAAATGTATTGCCGGAAATTAACCATGCTATCGTCACGTTCCTTCGTGGTGATTTTAGTGACAAAATCTCCTGCGTTTCCGCCTTAAGACACCTCTGAGGCTCGGGTTCAATAGTCTTCCATGGCGGGAACGGCGAAAACCGGCGACTGAATACTCGAAATCTTGACTGGAAATACTAGACAAATCCAGAGAATGACGTGAAATCCTGACTCGAAATTCCGACTGGGAAGAAGAGAGAATGTGCTCATTCTCCCTTGCTCGAAATCCTGACTCGAAATCCGACCCGAAATACTAACTCGAGATCCGCCTTGAAGATAGGTCAACCCTCGTGTGCTTGATATATATTCACGAAGTTGTATTTGGTTTCTATACTTTATGTTAACAGGTGAATAAATAAAGTTATTAATATGAAATTGTTAGTTTCTTCTGGTATCCGGTCACCTCACCACCAAACTATCTCGTCAGCAAAGGAATCGCCATCAAGAATTATATATCTTTATACTTATCGAAAGGAAAAATCTCTAAAAAAAAATTCTTAGCTTTCACTTTGAATTTATAATAAAATTTGAGGAAGCAAGGGTCAGGTGGCAATATTGCCCTACTTTCATCAGAGAGGCTGTTGGGACGTTAACAACTCGCTCCTCTCGACCGATGCAAATAAATTAAAGTATTCGAAAAAAGTTGCAAGTATAGATGAATACATGTACCCAAACCAATGAATCAAGCATTTCAAAGCGAATTTTCTGCCAAAATTTTAAAGTGATTGTGTGGAAGGTAAAGATGCAATTACGATTGATAACAAATTTGTATTTATGATTGACGAAGAAGTTGAAATTTTAGCTAAGCAATGCACCAGTCATTTGAAACCCTCGGACACCTTTTCCGCTTAGGGATGACCGGGGCATTTGAATTCTCCGTTACCCGGGGCCAAAGTAAATGTTGAGCTGCCCAGCTCCCACATGACCCACACACACACGTGTTATCGCCAAGCGTAACAAGGGATGACAAATAATGATGATAGTTGGAAAGAACACGTGGATTTCGGTGCTGCTATCGCAACACTTGCAAACCCTCGCTGAAGAAGGAAAATGACGACTTGACTTAAAGACGTTACAACTTGAAGTCACAACATGCGAGATAAAAAAATGCAGTCTTTTGGAGGTTTTTTAGGTTGACTCAATCATTACAAGTGTCTTTCCTCATTTCCACGATACTTCTACCCGATGAGTCTTATGAAATACTCGTATAAAAGGCACAAAAAATGTGTTCACGCCTTAAATAAGACGCGACTCAGATAAGACACTCCTTATATGCTCGTATATATGGAACAGTTTTGTGTCTTATTTAAGACGTGTCTTATGTAAGCCACCTGAAAAACACTTTGCGAAGCATATTTCTTACCTGCGAGAAGCAATGAAAATGTATTCAAAATTACTACGTGGCGTGGGGCATAAATGAAAACACTGACCACAGAGTGACTGCCCCGCTTATTCCCCGGTCTGAGAGTCGAAGACCGAAATGGAGTAATTACTATAACGTGAAAGGCCCCGCTTTACTTCAGTGATCCCCGAGGCAGCGGGGGGCAGGGGGAGGGGGGGATGGGGTTCTGGGGTTTCAAATGACTGGTGTATAATCCTAGGTAAGTAAGCTGTGTCAATTATTACAGAGTTATAATGTGGTGACGATTTCATTGGAGGAAAGATGGTTTGGTTGCAAGATGACCGTAAACCTTTCTTTTTTATCGATATCTTCTTTTTTCATTTTCATTCAACCTTGCCATTCTTTTCCAAGCTTGTGATTCCAGTCCATGTCTCAATGGAGGAACCTGTTTTCAAGACGAAAGTGGAGAAGAGTACAACTGTAAATGTACTAGTGGATGGAAAGGAGACAATTGCGAACAAAATTTTACAGGTACCCACTAATATCAATAAACGTTCTTGCTTATACATTTGTGGCTTCTACGGAAACCCAGCGATCTCCATCACATCGCCTTTAGGTGCTCACTTCGAAATATCATGCATTAGCGGTGAATTCCATATTTTGGAAAGACGTTGGATGATTGTTTATGAATTAAATGCGTTGGCTTGCAACACTTCTCATAGTTATATCAACTGTAAAATATCTTATTGTTTTATGTTCATTTATGCAACGGTGTCATTCTTTACCTAGCTTGCTGTAGAGTCTAAATCAGTAAGCATGCAAGCTACGGATTGAACCGGGTTACAACAACCGAATAAGGCATCGCAATTCTAAGCTCCTCCACTCACGTACACTCCTGCTGGTCTATCCCATAATCGTCTTTACATATCCCGGCATACACTACAACCCCTCTTCCCCTAAGAACAAGACCATGGCCGAAAACGTTGGACATTTGAGCCCGCATAGCAATAGCGGCTTTTCCCAATCGATATTAAAAATGGTGTACGGAATTACAAAGCATTATGTGTGACGCGATTGATTTACGGAAAATACAAGAACAACTAATGCAGCTGTTTTTCAGTTTGCCAAAATCGAGTAGCATTCAGAGACATTTCAGCGCTATTTTAGTTAAAAAACCTACAACAAAAATAAATTCCATAGCTTTCACTCAGAACGATATCGTTTTGTAACTTTAGCTCCAGTCAAAGCCGTGGAAACTCTTACACACGATCACTGACAGAACACAGGTGTCATTTCAACAGTTCGCGTGGGGTGATTTTCACGCGCACTTACTTGCGTCGCTCACTATAATTTCCATGAAAAAAAATTACAGTTTGATTGCTAGCAGAAAAAAATATACCTTTTTATTATGTAGCTACTGATGCAATACCAGAATTTTTTCTTTCACTAAAAAAATCATATCTTCATCGCGCGCAGTGAAGATACTATTTTTATCTTTCACGTGTGAGGATATTGATGTCGCCTTGGTTACTAACATTAATTTTGACAGTTTTGGAACAGAAAATCATAAGTATTATTGTCTTTATTTCTCCTTTATAACTTTATATCCCAGTTTCATAACATTTTTGTGACAGGCATTTTGCCATAGGTGACCACTTTAATGGCACTATTTTGCTGCTTCGAAAATGAATAAAAAAACGTTGTGTCTTATGTAGGAATTTCATCAGCATCTGCAAAATAAACAGAACATTACATGGGCGCTTGGGGATACGAATTTTATCTTCTCGTGTTGAAAGTATCTCTCACTCGTTCGCTTCGCTCACTCGTGAGAGAAACTTTCAGCACGAGAAGATAAAATTCGTATCGCCGCGCGGCCATGTAATAGGGACTTTAAGATCCAGGACGCGGTGACCGGGCAAAAGCCTGGAACGAGGACGGTGTTGTAAGCGCGGGAAAATTTAAGTTAAGATTTGCGACGCGATGGGGTCATTAATGTAAATCCGTACGAAGGTTTTAACGAAGAAACAAGAAATGGCTTCCTTCCAAAAACTTCAAGAATTACTGCTACCTTGCTTGGAGGAAGAAATTATAGACGACGAAGAATTTTCAGTGCTTTACGAGGCGTATGCTCCACAAAATCTTCCATTTCAGCACTCGGCATACGAGAAATTTTCTCTCGAAAACAAAAATTCTGCCGAATGCAAGGCTGATTTTCGCGTCGATAAAAGGGATATCGCATTACTTGTTGAAGCCTTAAGAGTTCCGCTCATCTTCAAGTGCTCTAACGGAACTATCTGCGATGGAACCGAAGGCCTCTGTATTGTCCTAAAGCGGTTCGCATATCCATGCCGCTATTCCGACATGATGCCAATCTTTGGGCGATCGGTGCCAGAACTGAGTATGATCTGCAACCAGGTGACAGACTGGATATATAATACTCACGGGCACAAGGTTACACGGTGGAACCATGGTATTTTAAACCCACCTTTAATGGCTACGTATGCAGATGGGGTCCACTCTAAAGGAGCAGCCCTTGATAACTGTTTCGGCTTTATAGACGGAACTGTGCGGCCCATTAGTCGGCCGATGTCAAACCAGCGAGTTGTTTATAATGGCCACAAGCGCGTACATGCGCTCAAGTTCCAGGCCGTCACGCTTCCCAATGGACTGATTGCTAATATCTATGGTCCTGTAGGTAAGCCCCAGATTTTTTTTCTATTCACAAAGCAACCTTTTTTCCCTTCATTGCCATGTTTATGGAATTTTTGTTTCATTGTACTTGCCTCTTAATTTTGCCGTATTTTTTGTTGAAATTCTTTTAGTAATTGATAATAGCCTATTCAATTTCTTGTTTCCACGCCATATACCCTACGTGCTAGTTAAATGTAAAGCCTGCATGACTTGATTTTAGCGAACATTAATGATGACATATACATCCTTAATTTGTTTTAAGAGTGGAACCTTTGTTTTCTTTCCTTCTTGTAGAAGGCAGAATGCACGATGCAAGAATGCTGGCAGTCTCCCAACTGTATGATGATTTACAAAACTTTGCATCTGACCCTGTAGGTAGAGCAATGTGTTTATATGGGGATCCAGCATACCCACTCAGGGTTCACTTGCAGGCACCTTTCAGAGTTGGCATTCTAACAAGAGATATGGAGATGTTTAATGAGTCCATGAGTGCTGTTCGCTCATCAGTTGAATGGTTATTCAGAGATATTGTAAACTACTTCAAATTATTAGACTTTAAAAAAAATTTGAAGATTGGACTCAGTCAAGTAGGAAAAATGTACATAGTATGTTCTATTTTAAGGAATGCTTTAACTTGTCTCTATTCAAACACAACAGCTGATTTTTTTGGACTAGATCCACCTTCATTAAATGACTATTTTAATTAACACGACTTTGTCACAGTGGACTTTTCATGAGAATAAGTTTTTTACAGATAATTCCTGTGACAGAAATGCCTCTTTAAAAGAGTTGTTTGTAAAAATTTCCTTATCTGATTAACCTTCCTCCCAGTGAGTTCCAGACTCTTGGACTGGAACATGTTGTTTTCTACTTAGCTAGCGTTAGTAAAGTTTCCTGTAAGTTTTGTTCACCAAGAATAATCAGTGATAGGGATAGATATGCCTTAACTAAGATATCCAAGCAACAAAAATAGTTTTTGTTCATATAATTTTGTGCACACAAATCAGTACCTTTAAATTAATATTTAATTAACTTTTGTGGATTGGTTTGACATGTAAAAACACAACTGACGGCCTGAAACGAGGGCCTCTTATTTGTACAGAGAACAGAGGTAGAAGGAAAATCCCTCAAGTAATAAAACAAAACATTCTTTGTCACTTAAAAAACTGGCAACAATTGTGTACATATACAACATCAATAAACTTTCCTTGCTGCTGGTGACAACAGAGTTTCAACTTTTCCAGCAAAAAAAAAAACAAACAATACAAATGCAACAGGTGGTTTGATGTCATCTGTATCTTGTGGGCCTACAAATCAAGCAGTGTATTTTTTAAAATATTTTCATCCACAAGCCACTCCAAAATGTGCAGCAAAATATGCTGCAAAACCTGACTGTGACACAAATCCATAGATCACTTATTGGCTAATTTCTCTAATAGAGCCATCATTGCCCTTGACTGTTCTTGTTGTTGTTGTATCATCATCATTTGAGTGTTAATCAGCTGTTGTTGGTTTTGTTGTTGTTGCTGTTGCATTACTTTAAACATTTCTGTTTGTTGCTGTTGTGTTTGTAGCTGCTGTTTGGCCATTGCTTCCATTTTTTCTCTTTCCAACGCTTGCTGTTCTTGCAACATTTTAAACTCTTTCTAGTCTCCGAAAGCTTTTCCATGGCCTTTAATCTCGCATCTTCTGCCTTTGCTCGGTCGTTTTCACATTTTTCATTTCTCTCTGCTCTTAATTCCTGTGATTCTGCCTCTGAACTTTCTTCTAAAGCGATGATAGTGTCCAAAAGATTTTCCATTTCGCTTGGCTCGTCGGGCGCTATACCGGATGCCTTCTCCTCGACTCTGACTTTTCTTTTATGCTTGTTGACGAGAATCCCCATGTGGTCGCGAACCGATCTCTTATCAACGCTGAATCTCAGTACGGTACATTCGTTTAAAATTTGAGCTATTTTCTCCCACATCCCGCTTCTTTGAGTGGATCCTTTTTTGAACGTAAAAGGGTTTAAATTTACCACTTTGAATTCTCGGCACAAGAACACGTCATGCTCGTTTGACCAAAACATCACCGAGCTAAAAATAAAATAACAGGAGTATAAGCTTAAGCTTACATTTAATGCTTCGACTGAATGAAATCACGCTTAGTGTCCGCGAAATATTCCTATATCCTTTCCCAAACCAACACATGTTGAAAATACGAGGATTTGTTCAACCGACTCAAATAGCCATGATTAAAGCTCACATTTACCTGGGAGGTTTAGGCTTGGATGCCATGCTTCGATTCAGGACTTCAAGTCTTCAACTAGCTGTTTACCTGTGAATATACGATGAAAAATGCCTTATCTGTCGCATCTTTGCATTCCAAATTGACTGCAATCTAGGACCAAGATTTTAAGTAACTCTACTGAGGGCCTGAGAGGTTTAAGGGAGACAAAGTATTACTTTCATGGACAAAAAAAGGTCTTTATACTCACGTTCTGTACACAACGCCAAAGTTTCCCAAATGACGTTCTCGACGCGACTTGGCGCCACTGATAGGACGCCTTGGGCATGCGTACTATGTACCCCGCCTGGATATTTTACTTCCGGTGGCGTCTTATAGCCGTCGCGTCCTGGATCTTAAAGTCCCTAATATCTTCTATTTGTCCAGCCAGAACCCCGACAAAAATTTTCCATATTTTCAGCTAGCGAGGCGCTCATTTAGATTTCCCAGCCAGCTAATTAGCCAATGTAATTTTTCCCAGCTAGCTCAAATTCTGCATGAAGAGCGGGTATTTTGTCGAGCGGCTCTGTTGGGTACTCCTGAAAACAATCGAAGATTGTATATTGTACAGAATAACAAGAAAATCTAACGACGCTACACAATTTGCCAAACTCGAGTCATAAACTACAGATAAAACCCTATCACGAAAATAAAAAATCCGATCTTTGGCTTATGAATTCGTCTTTCACTTTGGCCTTTAAAAACACGACCCAAACGCAATCCAGCACAAATCTGAATCTCGGGTTACTACGCTTCTAACACGAGTCTGATCAAAGTGTTAGTGAAGAGTCACTCTGAGAGCGTCAACACGCTTCTAACGCGATACTAATTATAATGTTCAATTATGTCTCTTTCTGAGTTGGCAATGTGCTTCTAACGCGAGTCCCGTATTAAAGTGTTCAGTAAACCTAATTAAAGTGTTCAAGAAAAGTGTATTATTGTGAGATTTAAGTATTATTTGAGATTTGAATATATGAAGAATCTAAAATTATGGAGAAGAGGTTACCGTATCGGCAAATTTGTGTTCTCAAATGATATGGAAACTTCTGAAGAGAAGGCAAATTTTGATCTCTTTGTTCATGAAGTAGAGTGTTCTGACCAAGCTATTTGTTTGCAAAATATGTACTGATCGATCCCTTTATCGTTGGAAAAATACCGCGACCGTCAAAAAATTATTTGCTGACTACACTGCAATGCCGCCCTTAACGCATGGAGATAACTGGACTAAACCACAAGACTAACAACGGGTTGGATCTTAAAACATGTTATCGAGTCAGGATTTCGAGTTAGTATTTGGAGTTGGATCTCGAGTCAGGATGTCGACTTAGGATTTCGAGTCAGGGATTGTTAACCATTTACAAAAAGTTTCCGGAAAATCAGTCAGGTTGGAAAGTAAATGGAACACGACTTTTTGGGTTGTTCCAGCGGAAAGTTTCCGGAAGGAATGTTCCAAATTTCGGTAAGAAAATGAAATGGTTCCGTTTAGGAAGCTTCAAAAAACATGGGTTATGACTAGAGGCGATTTATTTTTTTACTACTTTAGTCTTTAAGGTGATTGGGTATACTTTGTACTGAGCAAGTCGTTCTCCCCGCTAACCACGTCAAATTTTAAAGTTCTATGTTTGTGCAAAAGATTTCCACCCGGGTGGTTTGTGTAAATGTAAAGAACCCCAGTCTGAAGTCTTCGCGGCCGTTTTCTGCTAAATGTGAGTTATTTGTACTAATGGTAAACGCACAAAAAACAGGAAAGCGAGATAAGCAGATCAAATGTATTGCCGGAACTTGACCATGCCATCGTCACGTTCCTTCGTGGTGATTTTATTGGCAAAATTTCTTGCGTTTTTCGGCCATAAGGCGCCTCTCGGAGGCTGGGGTTCAATAGTCTTCCATGGCGGGAACGGCAAAAACGGCGACTGATGACTCGGAATCTTGACTCTAAATACTAGACAAATCCTACGAATGACTTGAAATCCTAGCCTACGTGTAGCCGCACCCTTCCCCCCGACAAAGGAAAAACTCTCTCCATTTTTTCTTTCTCGGGGGAAGGGTGCAGCTACACGTAGGCTATTGACTCGAAATTCCGACTCAAAATACTAGCAGGAGATCCGCCTCGAAGATAGGTCAACCCTCGTGTGCCTGATTTATATTCACTAAGTTGTATTTGGTTTCTATACTTGGACAGGTGAATAAATAAAATTATAAATATGAAATTGTTAGTTTCTTTTGGTATCCGGTCACCTCACCGCCAAACTGTCTCGTCACCAAAGAAATCGCCATCAAGAATTATATATCTTTATACTTATCGAAAGGAAAAGTCTCTAAAAAAATTCTTAGCTTTCACTTTGAATTTATAATGAAATTTAAGGAAGTAAGGGTCAAGTGACAATATTACTCTACTTTCATCAGAAAGGCTGTTGGTAGGTTTTTTTAACAACTTGCTCCTGTCGAACGATTCAAATAAAGTATCCGAAAAAAGTTACAAGTATAGATGAATACATGTACGCAAAACAATGAATCTTAACCGTTAATTTATCGTATTTGGAAAATAATTTTCTGCCAAAATTTTAAAGTGATTGTGTGGAGGGTAGGGTTGCAATTACGATGGACAAATTTGTATTTATGATTGACGAAAAAGTTGAAATTCTAGCTAAGCAATGCAACAGTCATTTGAAACCCTCGGACACCTCCCCCCTCGGGGATGAACGGGGCATTTGACTTCTCCCCTCCCCAGGCCAAAGTAAATGTAGAGCTGCCCCGCCCCCACATGACTCCCACACACACCTCTTATCGCCAGCCGTAACAAGGGATGACAAATAATAAAATGATAGTTCGAAATAACACGTGGATTTTGGTGCTGCTATCGCAACACATGCAAACCCTCGCTGAAGAAGGAAAATAGGACTTGATTTGAATATGTTACAACTTGAAGTCACAAAATGCGAAATTAAAAAAAACAAACAAACAAACAGTCTTTTGGAGTTTTTTAGGTTGACTCAATCATTACAAGTGTCTTTCTTTATTTCCACGATACTTCTACCAGAACTACATCAAAAGTTAGTAAACAATTGGGCCACTTATATGGGGAAAAATAAGACGAGTCTTATGAAATCCTCGTATAAAGGGCGCAAAAAGTGAGTTCACGCCTTAAATAAGACGCGACTCAGCTAAGACACACCTTATATGCTCGTATAAAGGGAACAGTTTGTGTCTTATTTAAGACGTGTTTTATATAAGCCGCCTCAAAAACACTTTGCGAAGCATATTTCTTACCTGCGAAAAGCGATTAAAACGTATTAAAAATGAATACTACGCGGGACAAAAATGAAAACACTGACCACAGAGTGGCTGCCCCACTTATTCCCCGGTCTGAGAGTTTATTGTATGGCCGCCTATACCGGGGAACAAAAATGGAGTGATTATAAAGTGAAAAGGCCCCGCAGTACGTCGGTGATCCCCAAGGCGAAGGGTGGGTGGTTCGGGGGTTTCAAATGACTGGTGTATAATCCTAAGTTAGTAAGCTGTGTCAATTTTCGCAGATTTATTATTTGATGATGATTTCATTGGAGGCAAGATGGTTTGTTTGCAAGATGACCGTAAACCTTTCTTTTTTATCGATATCTTCTTGTTTCATGTTCATTCTACCGTGTCATTCTTTTCCAAGCTTGTGATTCCAGTCCATGTCTCAATGGAGGAACCTGTTTTCAAGATAGATGTGGAGTTGAAGAGTACATCTGTAAATGTACTAGTGGATGGAAAGGAGACAACTGCGAAGAAAAAAATATTACAGGTACCCACTAATATCAATAAACGTTCTTGATTATACATCTGTGGCTTGTACGGAAACCCAGCGTTCTCCATCATAACGCGTTTAGGTGCTCAGTTCGAAATATCATGCATTAGCGGTGAATTTCATATTTTGGAAAGACGTAGGATGATTGTTTATGAATTAAAGCGCGTTGGCTTGCAACCCTTCTCGTAGTTATGTCAACTGTAAAAATATCTTATTGTTTCATGTTCATTCATGCAACAGTGTCATTCTTTTCCTAGCTTGTTGTAGAGTCTAAATCAGTTGGCATTCAAGCTACGAATTGAACCGGATTGCAACAACCGAATAAGGCATCGCAATTCTAAACTCCTCCACTCACTTACCCTCCTGCTCGTCTATCCCATAATCGTCTTTACATATCCCGGCATACACTACAACCCCTCTTCCCCTAAGAACAAGACCATGGCCGAAAATTTTGGACATTTGAGCCCGCATACTAGCGGCTTTTTCCAATCGATATTGAAAATGGTGTACTGAATTACAAAGCATTATGTGAGACGCGATTGATTTACGGAAAATTCAAGAACAACTAATGTAGCTGTTTTTCAGTTTGCCAAAATCGAGTAGCATTCAGAGACATTTCAGCGCTATTTTAGTTAAAAAACCTACAACAAAAATGAATTCCATAGCTTTCACTCAGAACGATATCGTTTTGCAATTTCAGCTCCAGTCGAAGCCGTGGAAACTCTTGCACACGATCACTGACAAAACACAGGTGTCATTTCGACATTTCGCGTGGGGTGATTTTCACGCGCACTTACTAGCTTCGATCACTCTAATATCCATGAAAAAAAAATTACAGTGCGATTGCCAGGAGAAAAAATATGCCTTTTTATCCAGCCAGAACCGCGGCATAAATTGTCCATATTTTTAGCTAGCGAGGCGCTCATTTAGATTTCCCAGTCAGCTAATTAGCCAATGTAATTTTTCCCAGCTAGCTCAAATTCTGCATGAAGAGGGGGTATTTTGTCGAGCGG